TAAAGAGCCTCTTGATGAAAGTGAAAGAGGAGAGTGAAAAAGTTGGCTTAAAGCTCAACATTCAGTAAACTAAGATCATGACATCCAGTCCCATCACTTTGTGGCAAATGGATGGGGAAACAGTGAAAATAATGACTGACTTTATTTTTTTGGGCTCCAAAATCACTGCAGATGGTGATTGCAGCCATGAAATTAAAAGATGCTTGCTCCTTGGAAGGAAAGTTATGACCAACCTAGACAGCATATAAAAAGTGGAGACATTACCCTGCCAACAAAAGCCCGTCTAGTCAAGGCTATGGTTTTTTCCAGTGGTCATGTATGGATGTGAGAGTTGGACCATAATGAAAGCTGAGTGCTGAAGAATTGATGCTTTTGAACTGTGGTGTTGGAGAAGACTCTTGAGAGTCCCTTGGACTGCAAGGAGATCCAGCCAGTCCATCCTATAGGAAATCAGTCCTGGGTGTTCATTGGAAGGACTGATGTTGAAGCTGAAACTCCAATATTTTGGCCACATGATGCGAAGAGCTGACCTATTTGAAAAGACCCTGATGCTGGGAAAGATTGAGGGCAGGAGGAGAAGGGGACGACAGAGGATGAGATGGTTGGATGGCATCACCGACTCGATGGACATGAGTTTGAGTAAACTCTGGGAGTTGGTGATGGACAGGGAGGCCTGGTGTGCTGCGGTTCATGGGGTCACAAAGAGTCGGACATGACTGAGTGATTGAAATGAACTGAACTCATTGAATAAAATGGTGGGCTGAATTTCCCTTACCAATTAAATTGCTTTTCCTTCCATCTTTAAGTGTGTATTTTATGGCATTCATTATATAGAATATTTAATGACTTTATTATTCAAGTGCATACTATAATCTCTTTGCTATTGATATAGTGAAGGCTATGATGTCAAACCTTTGTAAATTGCGTTCTTCCTCTTTACAAGAGCCTGTTGTTGCAAAACTGTTGACCTTGAGGGGACAGAGCTGGGGTGTGTTCCAGCCAAGAGCCAGTAAGAGAACACTGATTCAATAATATCATCTTGGAATAAAAAGAGAACCCTTTAATATTTAAATGCTTTTAATGAGTACATTTTTGCTATCTGAAAAAAATCACAAAAATTTTTGTATCAAATTAAGCAATGGCATTCACTTTTTAAAAAGAGATAAACCTGCTACTTCAAAGAAAATCACAGCTGGTATTCAATAATAATCTTGTGTATGATATGATCTATGCTTGAGGCCAACTTATTACCCTCTTTCATCCAATTTAATTTTAATCCACATTCAGAGATTTTTACCTAGTGCCACTTACAGTAAGTTATTTAATTCTTCTTTTTTTCACTTGGCAATTATCTTTGTTCTTTTAGTAATATACTCACTAGAAGAGAAGCAGATGAAAGAAAAATGGAGAATCATTATTCTTCTAATACTTTATAATTTTAAAGCATGAATATATTCCTAATTTATGGAATTGAAGCAGGAACCATATGTAGAAACCTAGGCAATGCGTCAATATATATAATATCACTGGTAGTCAAAGTTTTATTAAATTATTAATTATTTGTATTCAGTGTGTTTTTTCTTGACAATATGCTGATACTATGACTGATGGCATTTGAAAAGAATTTCATATGAACAAGCCACATAATCCTTGAGAACTGATGGCATATGTAAAATCATCAAAAAGAGGTAATTATCAGTTCTAGTTCAATCTTAATGGTTATTTGGAAGAGGTAAAATTTAAGGTATGAGATCCTATAAGTCACAATGGGGCTTCCTAGGTGGCGCTAGTGGTAAAGAATCTGCAATCTGCATGCTAATGCAGAACATAGGAGAGGAGGGTTCAGTCCCTTGGTTGGGAATATCCCCTAGAGGAGGGCATGGCAACTCACTCCAGTATTTTTGCCTGCAGAATCCCCCTGGACGTAGGAGCCTGGAGGGCTATAGTTGATAGGGCCGCAAAGAGTCCACACTCCTGAGGTGGTGTGGCACGCAGGCCCAATGGGGCAGAAGGAAATGACCACGCTTTAGCCTGCAGAGTTGTTAACAGGTATCTTTCGGAAGCAGCAATATCCTTCAGACGCGTTTGAGAAAGTGATCATGTTAGGAGCTCAGTGAAATCAAAGGCATTTAGGGTAGGAGCAGGAGCTTGTTTTTGATGTGCTATCTAATGTAGATGTAACAGTGACGTGCAGTAGTAATATAAATGCAATTACATAGGTTTGCTGCTTTACGTCATAATTCTAAATAGTTTTGGAGGTGTTGTTGTGAGTTCTTTTAAATTTGATGTAATTAACTATTTTTGACAGCGCCGGGCCTTTGTTGCTATGCACAGGCTTTCTCTAGCTGTGAAGAACGGGGGCTGCTCCCCACTTGCGGTGTGTCGGCTTCTCACTGCGGCGGCCTCTCTTGCGGCCGAGCGCAGGCCCTAGGCATGCGGGCTGCAGTGACTGCGGCATGGAGGCTCAGTAGTTGAGGTTCCTGGGCTTGGAGCAAAGGCTCAATAGTTGTGGTACACGAGCTTAGTTACTCCGCCGCGTGTGGGATCTTTGCAGATCAGGGATCAAACCCATGTCTCCTGAACTGGCAGGCAGATGCTTTACCACTCAGCCAGCAGGGAAGCGGGCTGTGGAATCCACTCTGCTGTGGATTCTGTTTATCTTCATTCCCTTTACCAGTAATCTCTTCATGAGGTCAAGAAGAGGACAAGGGGATGAATCGGGGAAGATTAAAAGGGCAGAGAGGAAGATCCCTAGCCTGTTCACTGATGCATTCCGGAAAGCAAAGACAACTATTAAATTAGTAAGTAAAAAGGACATTGCTCCTGGTCTAAGACCTTGCACACTAATTTCCTCCTGGCTCAGATTAGACGGGAAATAGTGCTGGAAAGTAGTAGAACTTGGAGGAGATAAAGCCTGATTGTAGGAAATGTGATGTTTAGGTACTTTCTCTCACCCTCTCTGAGTC